CCCCACAGCTGGGGCCCAGCAGGAACAGGGGGCCATCACCTGATCCTCGCAGTGCATCACCTCCTGCCCTGGGCACCCTCACAGCCCCTTGCTGGTGCAAAGGCAATAGTGAATGTTTATCCAGTCCCTGCAGCAAATCTGCTCCATTCCTTGGGGCCCCCGACGCTGCCCTGCCCCGGGACACTTCGGCAGTCACTCCTGGAGTCCAGCAAGGAGTTGCTGGTCAGTCAGCCCCTGGGAAAGCTAAATCTATTGTGTGCACAGGGTTTGGTGCTGCTCAACTGTAATCCCAGCCTGTGCTGTCAGCTCTGATCTCAAACTTTTCTCAGGGAAATTTCATCTTTATCCGTGCTCTCCCCCCTACCTCCCCATTATCTCAGTGTGCTCTGAATGAACATGATAAGAGACAAACTCAATTATAACCTTTTCCTTGCTTTTCAGTAATTCCTAACAGCAAACACTTTGCACTGGACAAGACCGAATAGCTTATTTTTACTAGTCCAGATTTCTACAAGGTTTTTGTATCATCTGTTTCCTGATGCTATGAGAAGTCAGAAGTGTTTTGGACAGTACAATGAATAAAATGTTCAAATTTTCAGAAGATACAACTGCACAAGAACGGACAGCAAAACTGTCTCGAGGCAGCCTGGGCACACATTTCCCTTTTTGCACTCTGAACTTTCTTTTGTTTCATGTCTGAAATTCTGAGGTTCTTAATACTCTGCCCCAATCCTTCCCTCTCCTCAGTGTCAGTGTTGCAGTCTTATGAAAATAGTGGAATTTTCTTGAGCACTGAATGTCAGCCTTCACGTCACAAAAGGTGTTTCAGCAGCCGAGCCCTGCCTGTTGCTTCCACTGACTGTTCAGGCCAAGCACAGGTCCTTCCTGTGCAAACAGTTTACAGTGGGTCAAGCGTCACAAAAAGCAGCAGCATTAGAGTCACTTATACACAAAACCTTCCAGTGTGAACCATTTTAAAAAAAAAAGCTCCCCCCAAAAACCACAACACACAACATCCCAAATTATTGTTCAGCACTGCAATGTATTATTATGTGCAACACTCAACATTTACAAAATGAAATACAGACACGTGCCAGGGGTCTCAGATACAAGGCAAACTGACACAATACTACACATCTCTGTATGTACAATACACGTGCTGCCCGTGGCATCTTTGAGGTCATCTGCCTTATGTTACACCACCACAGCAGGTTTGAGGAGAACCCCATGTCCCTCTAAGACAGCAGCTCTGACTGACTTAGGTGGGGTGCAGAGCGTCACCCATGGCATGAGCTGTCTGGGACAAACCCATAGAACATGCGCACTGAACACCATCTTGCTCTCTGCACACACAGCACTGACCTTCACGTCTCATCCACCGAGTGACACAGCGCCACAAAATGCTGAAACGTGTTCTTCAGTCCAACAGACGCTTGGATGCTGGCAACAAACTATACAAAATAGTGTTCTCCTTCACATTACTGACATATCTAATCCTCTGTTAACACAAGTAGTACCTGGGATTGGTGCTGTCAAATCCCTCTGCAAACCTACACTACTGCTTACACTGAAGTTCCTTACCAACCTCCTTCACCATTTTCTGCAAGGAGCCTGAACCAGCAGACTAACAGATTTTAATCCTAAATTAAGTTCTCTACATTCTTTCTCTTCCCCTTCTCTATAACCTTTTCTTTCAATTTCCTCTTCCAGCCCCCTAGTTCTGTCTAAAACAATGCATATAAACAATAATACAGATAACAATACATCAAGTTCAGGTAAAGGCACTGAAATCGGCAGCGCCGATGTTAAAATCTTCTTACAGATAAAACAAGTTACATAAGAGCTCTCCCGGAACAGGAAAAGAGGAGAAAATACATAGACTTTTAATGCAATACTCTAAAACCAGCAAGAGATTTATTCTTGTATATTAAATGTTAAAATCACATGCATAATTATAGAATACTTTATAGTTAAAAAAATATTTAAAAAACCAACCCTGACAGTTTACCTGCAACTGCTATAAAATTTCTATGATATATATATGTGTATATATATATATATAGATATAAACATGATGATTTTCTGTAATCAAAAAAATGAGAAAAGGATGCAATCATCCAGGTAATTATGAGTTAACTGATGCCCTGCATCGGACAGTCGTGTCAAACTCCTGCTGGAAAAACTGAGCTCATACCAGCCAGTTTACTCAAATACTTGTCTAGCATGCAGATTTAAATCAAAATGACATTTGGCTAAGCAATGAGTGTAAGAAAATAGATTTTTGCACACTACAGCAAAAAGACCTGTGAAGTGTCATATGACGCAAAAGAGCCTGTGCTACAAGAAATGCAGCCTCATGGGCTGTTCCCTCAAACATGCTGGTGGAATATTCTGCATAACAGGCCATGTGCACGGTGTTGAGAACATGGCTTTTGTAAGCAATGCTAGAAATGCCAGCATGTGTTTTACTAGGCTTTATGGTTTAAGACATGTTTTATCTCCTAAGGAAGGCAGCAATAAAGATGTTTTTAACAGTTAACAAGAAACAGAAATGAAAATTATGATTTGCTGGTTTTAAGAAGGTGAGTCATTGCTGTTCTGAAAAATGGCACCATATGGGTCACTGTTAGTGCGCCTGTAGACAAAGTGAAAGACCTGGGGTTGTGGACGGCTGTGCAACTCCGCCTTAATTTTCTGAGGGTAGGTATCCTCTGTCAGTTGTTGCCAGGTGTCATCAACGAAAAGAAACAGGCTATATTCTTCTGGATTGTCCACTTTAAACTTTTCAGCACAAAGCTGACATACATCTTCAGTAGTGATATATGGTCTTACTAGTAAGGTCTTTCCCGTACATCCACTGTTAACTTCCTGGAATGCAACACGAAGGTAGTTCTGTAGAACAAGAAAACAGGCATCAGAATCTCAAAAAACCCTCATCCTCTCAAAGTTGAAAAGTCAGCAACAAATAGCAAGCCTCTCTGTGTTCCAGCTGTGAAACGTACCAGTGCCTCCAGTACAATATGGCCATCCTGTGAAGTGCAACTGAAGCAAGCCTGCAGTGGGCATACCAGACCCCCTGCCTTCCGTGGCTTACCCCGTGACACGAGTGACACATGGAAAATTCCAGTGGGTTTAGTGGGACTCAGTGACTGGCCTCACTAGGAAACAAAATGGTATGAAGCAGAACGTGTTCAAGGCAGCACGCCTGAGAGACGATTTGCCACTGCTGGGTCAACAGCATGGAACAGCGTCAGAAGTGCCAGAAGGAACAAGAGCACAGAAGTGGCACACGAGGGTGGTGAAGCACAAGCGTGATGAACTGCTGCACTCTCACACTGACTGTGTGAAGGAACCCACCCTCACACAGGACACCTTCATCACCTCTACTAGTGGTGGTCTGGAGTCTAAGCCTGACATAGCCAAGCTTCACATGACAGCATTTTCTCCTTTTTTAAAATAGGGCTTAGATGGATGCGAACAGAAAATCTACTCTGCAACATTCGAGTAAATCCATATGATCTTGAGGCAGAAGCTGGACCTTTTTTCTCTGTAGAAACGGACACATGCCCACAACTCTGATAAAATGGATACATTCTAAATATGCCCTACCAGGAAATGCAGTTTTGCCCTTCAAAAAGCATTTAAAAAGTAAAATAAAGAGCAAGAAATGGGAGGGTAGGAACCCCTAAAAGTTTCTCGTCACGTGAACAAAGTGTCCAGCTGTCACATGTAACACCTTTTGTTTAGTTGTTTGAAAAGAAAAATTAGGTGCAAGTAAAGACTAAAAAGCAGTAAAATTAAAGCAGGTAGAAAAAAATTATTGTGAGAAAGAGCTGTTTATTGACTGAGCTGGTACCTACAGTTTGGATGCTGAATCAATTCAGCATGCTAAATCTCAATCGCAAAAATTTACATTTCACAGAAAAAAGCTAGGACTGAGAAGAATGTTCATACGATTTAAGTTCCAAAGAACACTCTTGTCTTAATAAAGATAGCACGAAGACTGAAACACTGAAGCTCTGCAACAGAATATAAACAATTGGGACTGAATCTGACCGAACAGAACTAATCCATTTTTGTTACCTGGAGTGAAGAAATTATAGAAAAAAAATCAGCCCTAGATAAGGCAAAACACATTATACTTTTAATTTCTAATGTAGCTACCACATGTTTTTAAATACATGTGCCTTTAGATGGACAGGATTGCTTGAAGGAGAGGCTGAAGTTTGTAGAAATACCTGTAATTCATATGCATTAAAATTATTCATGTCGTATCAGAAAGCTGTATTTAATCATCATCAAGAAGCATGATTTCTGCTTTTCCATCCTTTTGGGGAAGGAGGAGAGGCAGCCTTCCAGGACCCAAAAGCTGATAAGGTTGTGAGACTACATCACAGAAATGCCATGATCACACCCCGGTTCAATGTGGGGAAGATGAGCTGAGCTACACTTGTATTACACACTGGTGGTAGGGAAGTTGCTCCATTTCACTGCAGGACTCAGAGGAAGAGAGAGAAAACTTGCATTCTGAGTAGACAGAAAAATGCCTGAATTTGTGCCAAGCATAGCCTGGAAGTGCTGTGATCTACTGATTCGAGGCTCTCTTTTAAAGAGATAACAGAAAAAGAGGAACTGGACACACTCAGTGACAGCTTTTCCCACGACTCCCCCACCTCTTCCTGCATCCAGCTGTACATTGAGCTTGGATGAAGTTCATTTGCAGAGAAAGAGAAGATGAAACTGCACACAAGATACCGCTGAAAGAATCTTGCATAATTTTGTCCTCCACCAGAAATACAAGGGGTTGGATTTTCTTATGGGAAGTGCAGCATTTTGCCAGAAAGAACAAAGACTAAAGCTACTTGAATCTGACACTTAAGGGCAGGTAAACGGAATACAAGATGCATCCCAGTAAGATGGACTAGCTTTGTGTATTGGGCATGGGTTAGAATTTCTGTTAGTCTGTTCTCCTCTTCCTAACAGTAAACAACTGAACACAAAAGAGTAAATCCTTTCTTCTTGATTCCAACATCCTCCTTGCTTCACTCCATAAACTGCTGCATGTGGACAGTCAGTCAACAGCATATGAAAGATGCAGGCCTGGTTTTAAAAGATGAAGCAATCCCGACTGTTTTGTTATTCTTCAGTTGAAGGTACTGCCCTACTCTGAAAGAGCAGTACAAAATGCAGGGGAGGGGGAAAAAAACAAACAAACATGAAGACATCAATATTACAAAACTCTACTGCTTGCTTAAACTTTAAAACTGTTGGCAAACTTTTCTCCCACCTGTCCTCTCTATTACTTGCTGTATGCCAGCACTGGCTACTGGGGAGCTGTGCCGGTTTACACCACTGGACATCTGGATTTGATCTTTTTATCAGTAAAGCATACAAAGAAGCTGAATCTAAGATACGATTCAGTTTGTCCTCGCTCTGCATGACTTAGAAGGGAGAGTGAGAAAGCTTCATTATTTAGTGATTTCTTTAAACCATCATAACCAAACTCTTTGATAAAGTGCAAAGACTTCAACACTGAGGCAAATTTGCCAGACATAATCTGAGCACTGCTTCACTCCACTTGTTGCCCTGAGGAAATCGCTATCAGTCATATCTCTCAAATGGGAGTTTCCGAAAAAACAATCATCCCAGTTTTTATTTCAGTCCTAAGTTCTACCTGAAAATCGTCAACTGAAGGCACTGTCCTGTTAGTTGTCCTCCTCTTGTGCCATTGCCGGAGAGTGTCTCTGGCTTCTGAACTTAAGAGTTGGGCAGCTTGTTCTTCCTGGAAGTTCTTGATCAGTGAAAGTGCTCCATAGGCGCTTGTCAAGTAATAGCCTCCTGTGAAGGACAGCAAGGGAAGAACTTCTCAGAGTGGTCACAGTCATAAGTACAGGCACTTTCTTTAATATATATACACACAGAGGCACGTACATATATGAAGTCCCTGTACTCTACTGCCAAAATATTGATACATAAAGGAAAACAGCTCACTGGCCTGCAAAATACTGGATGGGGTGTTCTCAGCTGCTAAGGGACGTGCAGTGGTTGCATGTGCTCCATATTATCAAGTGGTGCCTCTCTCTGTGTCCACTGCTGCTCAAGATAGCTGCTTACTTAAATGACTCCTGTTATTCCTGAGTGTTTCTCATAATTTGGAATGCTAGTTTTCTTCTGAACAATTTTCAAACAGTGATTTGTTTTCTTACCAAGCTTCAGATGTGGATGAAATAAACATAGTTGTTTAAACAAAGTAAAAGACAATCTAACACTGTTCAGCATCTTAAGAGCAACTCCTCTTAATGGCAATAAAGAAACAACTGACTGTGAGATTTGTACTCTGGAATCATCCCAAAGAGCTGCCTTTGTTTTTAAAAGGAAGACTGATCTGTCACTTTCTTAGTGTTCCTCATAATGTCCAACTAGTTCAGAGGATGTGTGGAGTTCTCCACGCTCCACCTTTTTTACATGAGAACAAATTCAAGCCACAACAGAGCTCTCAATGTACAAAAGAAGCTTCAGGTCACAAAGGAAAAGGAGCCTCAACAGGAGGTGACAGGTCTCAGCAACCAGGAGAAACAGAAGACATGCTGTCTTTTTTTTTCAAGTAAACTATTTGAGTGGGAGTGTCCAACTAAGAGGCAGCACAGTCTATTCACGGAGGCATTCAAAGATGCATTTTATGCCCAGAGGACTATTTTTTATATTACTGACAGAATCCCCTCTGAGCCTTTAGCTCTGCAGTGAGATTAATATAAAAAACACATGGAAGACCAATGAGACAAATTGGACAATACGCTACAGTTGAAATGCACAACCCCAAAGCACTGAACAATTTTTACTGCAGAGCACAGTTCAGTTGGTGACAAAGACAGGACCAGCCAATGGACAGACTTCCTTTGCTGCTTTAAAAACAACATGACTTGATAGTCCAGTAATGTTTCTGCCTTTGAAGCATGTTACTGATTTCCAGCTTCACATCTCAAATATTTTCCATGCTAAGATTCCTGAACAAAGCACTCGAGGATGCTCTGTACACAAAGCAAGGAACAGACTAGTGCCAAACTGGAGGAATCATGGCACGAATTCTTTCGGGTATAAAGGCATGGAAGAGGCCACAGCAGATTCAGCAAGCCAAGAGACAGCAGGAATAGGAAATGTACACATATACCTAAATACACAGCTGAGCTTCATCACAAGAACCTTTAAAATTCCTCATGAACCTGTAGAGTCTGGGGCCTACGGGGGCTTTGCAGAAAGTGTTAAAAATGTCACCATGAAAACAGTGAGGAGGGAGATTTCTTTGCCTCTAGCAGACTTTAGCCGTCATTCAAGACTGCCTTGGGAAACATATTCCTGGGTCTCATAAAAATACTTTATGAGAATCAAATATTGGGAAGAAGCAAAGATCATTAAAGAGGGGCAGTATTCTCAGAAGCACTTTCCCCAAAGGATCAAGGAAGGCTTCCAGTTTTTACAAAGCACCTAACCCAAGTCCCACTGTGTGCCTCATAATTTAACAAATATTCTCAGGAAGTTTTCAGGCACAGAAGGATAACGACATTCAGCACCTGCCCAGTGCATGTTTTTGGTTGCTAAGTCACAATGGGCTGGCAACAATGGATTTGCTTCTGCAGCAGTGGACAGCAGCAGATTCCCAGGTCACTGGGAATGCCTGTGCTCTGCGATCTACCCAGCTTTCTCTTCCCTTCCGGTGGAAATGGTTCCGAGACACTCGTTACACTACTGACGTTGCTTATGTTAGGCCTCCCTTTAAAAAGATTTCCACTCAGACAAGGTTAACAGCAACTGTGCTATGAGGAAGAACCCCCCCTTCACTAGTCCTTCACTCACTTCTCATAGAAATAAATAAATAGATTACCTTCTCCATGCAGCAAAGATGGATCCAGCAACTCCATCATGTATTCAATTTCAGTATCCAGCTCCAGCATATCGCACTGGGCTAGCACATATGTCAACACAGGCAAGAAGTCATCAGCTCCATACAGCCTCCCTGGGTTGAAGGTAACACAGATAATAAGAGAGAAACCTCACCCTTTTACCAATTTCTGTGTTTGAAAGCAAAGCATTGTTTTGTGCCTCTCTGACCAGTATATCTGGATTGCTCTTGAGCTTCCTGTCGCCAGTGTGCAGCAAGGAGAACGTCATCTGACACTCGATGGACAGGAGAGCAACATCAGCTTCATCCTGTACTTCTAACAAGCACAAATCTGATGATGCACACCTTCAGGCAGGAAAGTGAAATTTAGAGACTGGGCTCACCTTGGCACCAGCTCAACTGGTGAACTCACAAAGGCTGCCGTGCCAGTCTGGCCTGACCTCCACCTGCACTTCTATCACTGCCTAAGAGATGAGGAACAGGCATTTTCTTTATACATCCAGTGATGACATCCACTTTCGGGAAGGATCCAGACACAAACACCAGTTTCTGAGTCTGAATCGCACAGCAGGGAAGCCTGAATGTAAAAGCGTATTAAATTTGACATGAAAACTCAACTCATTTTCTTGACAAGAGAATAGTTAAAAATATCAATGAGCAAAGCCTCCTGTACCTGAAGGGAGCCTACAAGAAATACGGAGAGAGACTATTTGTAAGGGCCTGCAGGGACAGAACAAGGGGGAATGGCTTCAAACTGAAAGAGAGTAGGTTTAGATTAGATATTAGGAAGAAATTCTAATTTCTTCTGTGCCTTGGCACAGGTTTCCCAGATAACACAGCATGGAGACAGACGTTTACAGAACTTCAGGCCTACACTCCTATATCCATTTTTAAAATGCAGGATTTTGCACAGAAATAATAAGCTGGGCAGGAGCTCAGTCCTAAATCTTGCAAAAGTACTTGGGGGGCTTTAACAGCCACGAGCTTTCACCATCAAATCTCAAAAGAAAGTAGGTGTCTTGGTTAGCACCAGAGCCAGCTGCACACTTGACACTCCCTTAGAAAGAAAACTACCAACCACCTGCAGCAGCTTTATACTCAGGGGAAAAAAATCTCCCACTGCCACAGCATGGCTTCGACTTAGCTCATGACCCATCACAGCAGTGTATGAGATGATGTCTGAGTTGCTCCTATAAATTCAGGCTACTCAGCACAGCATTTTAATTTTTGACACTGACTGCTCAGCAGATCTTAACTTGTTTGTAGTCCCATTTCCGTATTTAGGTTTAAAAGGCATTTTTGGATTCTTGCTACAGTACAGAAATAGATGCTTTCTTTTCCAAAAGCGTGACATAAAGTGTCCAAATGAGAACATTCAAAGGCACAGCAAGCCAAAAATACTAGGTTAGAGGTTGCTTTTCTCCACCCATTAACACAGAACCCTGTAGTTGTCATATTGCATACATGCTATTGAATTATTATAGCTAAATATAGGGTGTTACCTCTATTATTAGTTTGCAGAAAAATACTAATTTAGAATGAATGTCAAATTCAAGGCTCACAAGACAGCCTTTCTGACTTCAAAGCCTACAGTTAAGCAAAGCTGCTCTTTTTGAGCTGCTTCTCACACTGAGTTTGTAAGATGTACTACCAGCTGCACCAGAGACAGCAGGGAAGAGGCAGAGAGGAAGAACCCCTCTCAAAAGGACAAGGAGGTGCTACAAGAGCTCCAGGAGGAGACCTATCTGCAGAATCAGGTGGTCTGATTCCTCTAAAAGACAATGCCAGGAATGGTGTATCAGTGAACCTGAAGAGGCACCATACCTGAGTTATTCTCCATAACAGTGTAAATCAATTTGCAAACTCTCAGCAGCAGCATGACTTTCTTTTCAGGTGAATACATCTTCTGCATAGTCATGAACTTGACTTTAATCTTTTCAACGTCCACAAAGTCTGGTGTCGGAACAAACACACCCAGTTCCTGAGGATTTCTTTGCCGCACCAGCTGCAGATTTTCCTTGAGTTGTTTCCAGGAACCATCCGTGGTATGAAACTCTTTCAACATTGCTTCAATGTGACCCTTCAATGGCTTCAGAATGCACTTATGCATGGCCTTCTCCAGGACAACATCTGCAATGGGAAAACACAAGTTCAGCTGACTTCCTCCTCTAAATCAGAGCCAATATTAATATAACCATTCCCTAAAGAGAGACTGTAGAGCAAAACCTACTGGCTAAGGCCTATTTATTACACAGGCTGAGCTTCCAGATGTTTGTTAACAAGAAAACAAGAGGCAGAGCAGAATCTGTATTCCATCATCATTTATGGCAGTTGGTAAATACAGAAAAAATGGCCACAAAGATGAACTGCAGACAGTAGGAAAAAAAAAGCAAGCTGTGGCTCTAGTTAAGTTTTTCTTTTGTCGGTCAGAAGTCTCCAAGTTTTATTTTACTTTGAGCTTAGCTTTTAACTCCCAAATTTAAATAAAACACAGTCAACATCGTAAAATCATAATTTTTGTCTGCTTTGGCATTAAAGCCCATCCTTTTTGCATAGTTTCCATTCGAAATTAAACCTCAACCAAGGTTTACTAAAACTTGGCTAAACTTTGTCAAGATCTTTATGAAGCTGGAGAGATTATGGGCTTTAAACTATAAATGAAAACTAAGCTGTGTTTGTCCAGCTTCAGATTTCATCACACAAGCTCATATACAGCTTTGTCATCAAGTTCGAAGTTCTTTGTTTGGCAGTAGTGAGCACATGGCACTGTAACCACTAACCTACGGGCTTCTTTTAAATCTTGTTCTACTCAAGTTTTTCTTTAACCTGCATTCTCCATTTTCAAAGTACAGACTACATCAGCAGAGAAAGCTCTTTATTAAACATTTTCTCTGCAAACCTTTACTTCATATGGTAATTTCTTTTCCCAGCATCAGCATCCTTATGGCAACATAGCTTACATTAATTATTAGATTCCACCAGTTATTTGTACCATAGTGGAGAACATTCAGCTCTCAGGACCAGAGCCTAGAGCAGGCAGGGGAGCACAAGCACCGAGAGCAGAAAGAGGAGAGACTGCGCCACTGCTAGATCACATGTTTTTACAGCCTCGCAGTGGACATTCCGGCTAGTAATGGTGACCCAGTAAAGTTTCATTAAACCTCATGCCCTTTCCAGGTTCTTCGCCCATACTTTTGTCTTTTTCTTAGACAACAGCCTCTTTCTTTTCTCCGTGCCCCCCCTTTATTTAAAATTGCACACTCTTTAGGGCTTGGGATTTACACACACCCGCACCCTCCAGACAAGCATTGCCTAATTTTGTTTTCTTGCTTTTGTTTATGATTTTATTTGTCATATCCTTGTGTCCACCCTTTTTTCTGTTGAGTCTTCATACCTCTCTTTCCCACACAAACACACCCTGCAGACAATCCTCCCCTTATGGTGCTTTGGCTTCATATGTAGCGTTTACTCTGTGTTTGTCTGGTATGCAATTCCCAAACTTGCAGCTCTGCTGGGAGCTCCCATCTCGCCAACCCCAATTCTGCTGGGGCTTCTGTAGCTTGTCTTGGTATCTTCCCCTTTCGAGATCCTAATGGAGGAGCAAAGTTGTGTCTACTTCATTTCCAGATGTTTTAAACACATCTGGGCTCTCCTTCACAGCAGAGACTGTGAAACTGCTGGAGGGGAGACAGAGTGAACATGAAGATCAGCATTTGCTGATTTTCTAGATTTCCCTACAGCCACTTGTAAAGGCATTATCAGTCTGACACGCGTTCTTGGTGGCCTGTCACACAGCGTGAAGGGTGGATCCAGCTTCCCACCAGACCAGAGTCACCAATTATACCTTAGCAAGTGGCAACACTTCAAAACGACTGATCCTTATCTACTGTACTTGGGAGAGCCACACAATCATCCCTGACAGGGAGGACTATAGAACACAGCTAGGTAAGCAGAAGTATCAGCTTTGCACACAGGGACAGAAACTGCCTCTCCCCGCCATCACAGCAATCCTCAGGGCTCATGGGGCAGAAACAATTTTCCACCAAGAAAAACACCTAAGTCCCACCCACAGGTACGTTGGCTAGCTAAAGTTCTAGAGTGTACACACAGTTCCTTGCTATCTTCATTGATGATTTTTTTTTTTTTGACAATTCAGCTTGCTTTATTTCTATTGCCTGAGGTTTTAAATAGGAAAGACACCACCTGCTTTGCCTGTAAGAGGAACACCTCTGCAGTTTGCATTTCAACCGCCTGGCTTGTTTATTAAAGCAGTTGGTGTGCATTATGCAAAGTGAGAGAACTCTATCCCTGAGAAATGTGCACTCCCATAGGTTTCCACTGGAAGTTCTGCACATGAACAGTGAGCATCAGCCATCCTCAGTAAGGTGGGGTGATCACATTTGCTCACAGGAGGCTCAGTACATTCTAAAGAGTTCAGCATGGCTCCTCAGAGCCCTTAGCCTGATTCCGAGGGAGCACCTCACCTGGGAAAACTCACTGTGTTTGGGGGACTGATGCTCTATAGGGGCCAGCCTGGAGCTGGTTTGACTGCTGCCTGCAGGGACAGTGGGGAGGGAGCTGCAGTAGCAGTGCCTGCCCACAGGCTATGGGAACTGGACTCTGCTGGGAGAGAAAATTCCTTCCCAGAGCCCTGGTCCTTGGCTGGGACCAGGCTTGTTATTTGCAGGTTAGAAGTGGGAGGCTCAACCATGGGAAAGGTTGTGCCACTCCAACAGATGAACCATACTGATTTTTACAGCTGTGCAAGATAGCAAGGAGATGTTCTTTCATATGTGCATTTTGTCATAGGCTCCAAAAGCAGTGCCTGGAAATTGCTTTGAAATTTACTCAATCACATTACACGATTTCTCTGGAAACTTAAATCAATTTGAAGCAGCATAGAGGAAGGGAGCACATAAGCACAAAGCTCCACATAACAAAACAAAGGAAAAATCACAACAAAGAAGAATTCACCAAACCAAACACAAAAAAACCCCCAAAACAACACACAAAGTTTTCTTCTTCCTTATGAATTCTTAGCAAAGACATAAGTACCACTGAGTTCTGGCCTCAGATAAAAATCTGGCAAAATCTAGCAAGCAAGAAGATTGACAAGGACTGGATAGGTTTTTTAATGGCCAACATTAACACCCATAAGTATCCTAATTAATACAAAACCTATACAAAATTTTGTATTATTATTAAAGCCTGGATGGACAGCATTTCTTGTGATCTCAGTCTTAAAACAATGTTCAGTGTCACAGGCACCTATAAGCATGTTTGGGGTCAGAACATTCAACTGTCTACCCCTTCTTCTGAACTGCTGTTTCGGGCCCCTTTCAGACAAGGGTGTTTCTGGATATGACCGCACAAACCAATTCCCAGCCAGCAGCAGTTTTCACTATGTAATTTCTAATGGCCAGTAAATTAGCATCTAAGTTGTAATCTGAGGACTGATTCTTTACCTTAGCATCTCTGTATATTTCTCAGATCTAGACTGGCAACAAAAATTCCTGTTCACTTCAGCTACATGTGTTGAAATTTCCTGCCAGGATGCTTAACACTCCAAAGCCAAAACATGCACTCTTCAGACTTTTTTTTTTTACTGAATGTAATTTGAACACTGTGTATCGTTCCTGAAGTGATACCTATAATTAGCCTCTACCCTCAAAATGGGAACTGGAAGTGCTTTGATAAATGAATTGTAAAGGCCAGCCAGCTAGTTTCGTTGTGACTTGTGGAAACACATCTGTATCCTGTGCTGACATGCTATTTTTGTTTTGCTGCAAACCACACAAGTCTGCAGCTAGACAGGACAACACGTTAGTCATCGCCAGCGTCCTTACACAGCCTCTTTACAACCCTCACTTCCTCAAACTGCCTCAAAGGCACACTCATCTTCTTCAGGCTCCCAGTTTACCTGTTGCCAACTGTTGTTAGTCCACTGAGATTACCTGTCAGATTCCAGGCTCTGTTTTACACACAAGCCCTGTTTATCACCTTGGATGGCCAAACCACTCATCAGGAAAAGCAGGGGTCAGTAAGAGACTGAGCAAGGCTGAGGACCACCACAGAAAGGCACAGTCCTGCACAATAACATTGCCTCGGAGCTGAAAGCAGGATGTTGCTTTGGAATACCACACCATGTATGTGTAAGACACCTGACTACACTGCATTTGATTTGTTCTGGATTTTCCTAATATCTTTTAAATTCACAGACTGCTATGACCGATACAGATCTATTTCAGGATAACTCATGTCAGGATGGCCAAGTATCTATTTCCTGGTGGGTGCCCACAGTGTCACAGGCCTAGTCCATGGTGCAGATAAGGGTATCTCCTTTGAAGGAGCAAGACTTGAAAGTAAGACCTCACACAACCTACGTTACTTTGTAATCTGCACAACCCTGAAAAGAGGTAGGACTGAGGTGGGCAATGTATAGGCAGTGGTAGCAGAAGCTGAGCAATCAGGCACAAAAAGTAAGCCTCCTCTCATTTTACCTACCTAAAGCACATCAAAGAATCACACAGATATCTGTGCTAGGCTTGTTTTGCTTTAAACAGCTGTGGGTTAACTGAAAATCATGCTACGGCAGTGTGGTAAATACCTGTCTTCTATGAAAGCAGTAGAACCTAATCCTCTGTCTCTGCTCATTGACTTTAACACTGTATAAAACAGTGCACCGAGAGCTCCATTATCAATGGCTGATATTTGAAAAGAGCTACCCTGGGGGTCAGCCCTGGGCTTTAGTGTGTTTAGTACTTCTAGCTCTGTCTGCCTGTGACTCCTCCATACAGACCCAAGCCCCTGTGACACAGCATGGCCTGCCAGTATGGGGCCAACTCCTTCTCTCCAAGCTTCTTTTAACATTCAGCATTTATGTATCTGTTACATATTAGAAATACCATAACAAGTAACAGCCTGTATTGTTTAGGCACATTTCCATATGATCAGTTAATACCTTATTGCCAAATTATTTAAACCAGTCATTTCTCAACCCAGGCCCAAATTCAGGCACTGAGACTGAAGCTGTTCAGATGTTAGATCCCACCTGGCGAAGTGACAACAGTCAACTTGACTCCTTTCTGCTCAACGCCAGGAAAAGAGGAAAGACAAACTAAAACTCCCTAACATATGCTGATCAAGCAGCTGTGGACTATCAGGGCCTCCTCTGACCAGTCTAGGTCTTTATTCTGTGGATACAAACGAGGTGTGGATGTCTTTAAAAAAAACCCACATTTCATTCATCTATAAATAACAGCCATGTGCCTTACTCTTGATCCTGTTCCAACATGGGGAATCCCATTGCTTCAGGAACGGTTAACAACCTACAGTGCTAAGATTAGGAGGCATCTGTCAGGACTAAATAGAAACCCTGATGCATATTATCTCAATGATTTTGCCGAAGTTTAACAATTTGATGCGACCCCTATCTGGGAAACTTAAAAGATTTCCCACAGAAGTCTTTCGCTTGCAAGAGTCCGTGATGCCATTCTACGAGAAGAGCTACAAAATCACAAAGACCATTACAGAAATGTGGGAGAAAGTTCCAAACACCGACGACTTCACTAAACCTACTGAAATTCAGGAGACAAAGAGTGTGCTAAGGTAAAACCTGGCTGACTCAAAAAGGAGGAGTATTATCTCCGGAGCACACATCTAGTGCTAGGCTGCACCACCAAAGTGTGCACTGACAAGAGAGGATAAACAACAACTCATAAAGTTAAAATTTGGGCTGCAATTCCATACTGAAATATTCAAGCAAAACTATGGACAACAGGCAAGACTACTTCACAAAAAGTTCTCTACAGGGATGACTAAATGTTGCTGTCACATAGTTATCTGCTTACATCAGCAACATCTGATGCTCCTGATCCACTGCAGTTGTTTGCAGGCTTGAACCACGGGCAGTAGATGATTCCTTTTTTCAACTATCCCATTTTATAAATTAATAGCGTTTAGTCACATGATCAAAGCCAGACTTTCTGTTGCCGAAGAAAACCAGTGTAGTTTAGTTATTATATTTCGCAGCTTAAGCTATTCCAAAGGACTGAAACATTTAAAAGCAGATAACATATTTCCAGTCTCGGGAGACCCACAGTCTGATTAAACCACACCCTTGAAATTAGAAGTACACAATAAACTAAACTTTCCCAGAATTACAAAGTAGATCTCTATTACTTTGTCAAATATCCAGTAGTCTGCAGAAATGTGGGTGAAAATGCGCCTGCATCCCCTGCTCAATTTGGTGCTTTTTCTTCATGTAACACCCCAGTAGTAAGTTTTTAATATTACAGTGAGAACATTACATGTCTCTGAATTTTGATTTCAAGGACATTCTTCACATTTTTGTGCTTGCTTTAGCAGTCCTTGTGACTTTTGCTTGACTTTGTGTAAATGAAATTGAGGTTACGCGAGAATACTTCCTCTTGACCAAGGACAGACAGAATGTCAACATAAAATTACCCTCTAGTCTCAGAGAAAAAAGTATCTGCCAATTTTGCACTGGGCCAACTGTTGGGACTCTGGGGTATGGAGAAAAACAAGCAAATTAGGACTGAAGTGAGCTCACAAGGAAACTATTCTGCCCTGAGGGATGTTTAGTTCCTAAATGTGGCTTACAGGCTCTTTTACAAATACTGCTCAGACTCTGCAAGAGAGAGGCAGTGAGATTTTATGCAACAACGATTTCACTTTTGTGGATACACAAGCCTCTCTGTGTTGTTAAAACATATTCAAGCATATAGTTCAGCTGCAATCATTTACAAACACGTACATATAACAGAGAAGTAAATAAAACTAGAGATTAGTAGCTCCTTTTCCGTCTTGCACACATTTGTTTGCTTTTTAAAACTCTTAATATATCTTTTTGTTTAGTTTCAAGTGTAGGGACAGTGCACCTTTGCCAGTAGTGATTAGGAATTTTTCAAAGACTGAGATTTATTTAAAAAGTAAGTTGTTACAAAAAGTCTCTCTGCTCTTAGATGTCAGTGGTTTTGAATAAATTCTAGTTCTAGCTAAAATCTATATGCTTAAAATTAGGAGTTTTGGACCAAGCACTGAGAACTATTTCAGCCCAATTTAGGGAAAAATACATGTGTGCCAGTAAATAAAGGATTCTGTACTGATAACAGTATAGCAGCTAAAGTAGTAAAAATCACAGGTAAAAAGTACAGGTTACACCTATTTTAAGGAAAAATTTTTATTAACAACTTCATAGCATAGTTCTTCCAAGCTGACAGGGTGATTTGGGGCGGGGATGTTGTTTTACGACTCAAATACTCAGTGGCTCAAACTCTACTGGCAAAGTCAGCCGCACCTTTCCGAACCGGACAAAGACTACCACTGTAAACACAGATTACACATTTTCACCTTCCCACAAAACACAGGACAGTGTTTCTTACCTATTTGGTCCTCGGGAATCAGTGATTCGATTGGGGGATCAAGTTCGGAGCTTTGGGACAAGTAGTTCTTGACTTGGGTCATGAACTGACGAATTGTTTGCAGCATATCAGTACTCGAAACATGGCACTCCTTGTTTTCTTGGAGAAAGCTGACATAGTCCTGTACTAAGCATCCAAAATAAGTGCGTTTGTCCCGGGACATCTCTGCAATTTTCTTAATCATCCTCTTTTCTGGGGTCATGAAGGAACTGAAAACTCCACTGACTTTCCGCAGCTGAGATTTCACAATCTTGGGGAGAACAAATGAACTGCTTCTTTTCTTCTTGGGCTTCAAAGGGGGTGCCATGCTCTCCTGGTCACTTTCCCCCTCAAAATCCTCCAGGCTGCTGTTAGTGTCCCCCTCATAGCCGAAGAGCGGCATGCTCCGATCAAAGTCCAGCGAGTCAGACGAGGAGGTGGAAATGCTCATGTCGCTCAGTCTCTGCCTGCCTCCATTCCACGGTATGTGTGACTCAGAGGTGGTAGCTGTCGTCTTTTTGGAAGCTGCTGGAGCCGCCTCGGGCAGGGTTTCACCTGGAACCCCCGCTGCTTCGGGCACACGCACCAAGCCAGGCCGAGCGGCCGCCGCCGTCTTTTGCCCCCCTTCCACCTCGGAGCAAGCAGCCTGCTTCTTCAGCCGAGGAGGCGGAATCGGGGCTGGCTTGCTCTGCAACAAATCCGAGCCTCTCTCTTTCTTATGGTTGACTGTTTCTGGCATGCTTGCCTGCTTTATAGTCCTGGAAAGCTGCGGGCTCATGAGGGTGCTATTAATAGCAGGAGGTGGCGGCCGGGGCGGGGGGGAGCGAGGCCTTGCTGTGCCATTCACGTCTTGAGTTCTCGGGCTCTGCCTTTTCAGACTTCCACTGACATCCTGGCTGTGCACTTTTAAAAAGAGGGGATTAATGAAACACAGCGCTCCGTTGGTCTGGCTGCACTCCAGCTCTGAGGGCGTTCTGGTTCGTATAGAATGCACTCCATTTATAAGGCAGAGCTGATGCGAGTCTTTACAAGCGCTGTCCGAAGGCACAGGCCTACAGGGAGGTGAAGGATCCAGGGGGTTGCTGTTAGCCAGGGAGCTCCAAAAGTCTGAAAATCATCGTTGCATTAACGTAAGAATGCAAAACAGCATGCAGATGCTTTGAAAACATTCAGCTCAACAATACCAGTTTAAAGTATTAAGAAATTTAGGCAAGCTTTTATTAATTCAAGGAGGGGGGAAAATTCCAAGTGAACCTCTTAAAGCACCACCAGACACAACTGCATCCTACACTCCTGGGACTGCTATTACTCATTTATAAATACCATGACCAATGCATAGCTTCCAAGTGGCCCACTGAACGAAGCTTAAGATTAAACTGAGAATCAAAGAAAGGAATGGAGACTGTAACAGAGTACTTCTTACCAGCTTGAGACCAAAATGAACATAAACTACTTACTAGCATCTCACCCAGGAGAAATAAGGTAAGATTCTCAGTTGATATTAATAAGCTCACGTTATTAAAGACAACAGTTTAACTGATTTACAACAGCTGAAGGCCACATTCAGCAACTCAACAAAAATCTCGGTTGGTTTTTCTTCATGGTGAACCAATGAAAACACGTGAAAAGACAGCTCACATTTTGCTGTGGTGGATGCACACATCACCTTTAGCTGTGCAGACCAAGTTCTCAGGTGTCTAAGAGCACTGGCCTGTAGCCCTGCCTTTGCCAGGGGGACAGTTTGCTCAAGGTTTTAGACACTCAACAGCCCATAAATAGACCCAAGGTGCAGCCCCACTCCAGCAGCATGGAAAACCTATTCTAAATCAGCAAGTTTTAGTGCAGCCTCCGCACCACCAGAGTATCTGCATGTTTGTGCAACTGAGCCAGTGGTAAAGAGCATTGCCTTTGAGGACAGCAATCATGCTGAAATAAGGTAGGAACACCAGTGGAGGGAGATTTTGCTGAAATCTGCCAATCTTGGCGTGGTCCCTTTTCCCTGTAGTGTCAAGATACCTCATGTGAGGCAACTGAGCAATGACACCTGGGCCCAAGTTCATGAATGCCAAGCATCCACAACAGGTCCATGTCTTGCCTCCAGGGCAGAAGACAGGAAATGGCCCATGGTGACAGGCCACTGCCAGAGAGGTATACAGGCACAGGCATGTTTCTCTACAGAGTCATGCAATGTTGCTGGTTTTCCCAGCTTCATGACTTCACATCCTGCCCGCAGATCTCTCAGCAGACTGACCAGTGTGCCTGGCATGTGGGCTGCTGTAAACACACGTGATGTAAGCACTGCTGCAGGTGAAACACAAGAGAGGCCCAGAGAGCAATCTTATGTTCAGCACATGAAATCTTACAGGTTGGCAACAGACTTGAAATCTTTACCACTAGTTCTTCCTGATGTGGTTTGTTGACCTGTCTTGTGCAGCTCTCCCTCTGAGCCTACTGCACAACAGAGCTCTGACAGGAGATACAAACCTCTGTGTTCACAACAAACCTCTGTGTTTTGTGCCTATGTGTTGCTTAAGGAAAACTCACATTTAACAGGAAGGGCTGTTGAGAGTCCACAGCACTGAAGGGCTGACTTTCTGGTGTGCTCTTTTACACGTGGACACCTAAAACTCCATCAAAATCTCAACTTTGTTGCCTGGTTTTTGCTCACAGAAACTGTGGTCTTAATCTGGTGTATATTAGATAATTGATCCCAGATACAGCAACCATACAGACACTGATCCATCAATCTCCTCCTCAGCTTTCAAATGTATTAGGCTAAAAAAACCACACACAATGCAGAAACTGATTAAGAGCAAGACTAATTCTGCAGCCAGTCGGTCACAGTGGTCTGGAGTACCGAAGAACAAAGACAGTGTGCTTAGTCTGGAGAACTTGATCAATACCACCATTACTATCCCCTCCGGAAAAACTCACCTAATGTTACTTTAAGGCTTCCATGTGTCACTGGGAGACTGTCTTCATCACAGTGTATCCCAGTCAGACCTTTTATTTTCTTTTTTCCATCTAAACACTGACCTCAACAGTACCCTATTTACCTCTACTCCCATGATAACCCATACTTGCATCTAATTACCTAAACTCGCAGATCAGCAGTGCAGAAGTAATTTCTCTCCTCTCTAAAACAAATACCTTAATTGCATTGCTACTGCAGTAAATCAAAATGCAAAGCAGTGCAATACATCTCAGTGTGCATGGCTTTGCTGTGAAGCCCCACCAAACAGTTCTAGAGAGCCTCATGCTAACACTAATTTAGAGAGGATCCATTTCAAAATCCATGATGATTAAAAACATCTACTGGGACAAAGACTGCTGACAGTCAACCTTCCCCCTTCCTGGAGAAGGAAATGAGGCTATTCAGCACTTTGCAGGAGTTGCTCAATGATTCATCTGGGTGGTGCCCAAGTTTCAAATCCCATCAGGCTTTGCATCTCCTTCGAGCTCAAGGAATGCTTCAAATGAGCCTGTACTTGGTTGCAGCAGTCAAGTGACGCAAGGACGTGTCCTTGCAGTGTCTTTTGTTATTTTAAACATTTTCTGTCATGCACATGGATACATTCTGCAGGTGTACACTGCTTTTCTTAATATGCCATTTCAATGAGCCACTGATCTCCAAAGTCACCATTTAAATTGAACATCAATCTGAACAGAAGTTTTACTAACAGGGGCCCCCAGTTCCTACACTGTCCTCGCAGCTCCAGTAAAGTATCAAACCAGTGAGCCCATAGCCAACAGTAGGTTTTTGAGCAGAAGCTACATCAAACCTCTGTCTGGGAACTGCAAGATTTGCTTTGCCCAGAGAGGGAAAAGAAGAAGGAAGAAGGAAACAGCACTAACAAAAATACCACAGAAGGCACAGAAGTAAGGAAGAGCACCACTATTTGACCAGAACAAGGCTTGGTCTTTCCAAATAAGAGAAGGTTCTTTTCTACGTGAAATCTGTAACATCACTAACCAATATGAACTACTTACTGATACAGATTATGTTTTCAAGCTTACAGGATTGCTACAGGGAATTACATCTATGTAAAGAACTACTTACTCAGTCCAAGCTGAGCAATGTCTTCAAGTTCAGCTTCTGTCTTTGCTGCAGCAACTGCATGAGGCAACTTCAGTGTGAATGGAAGGACATCCCTGTTGTCAAAGAGAAAAACGATTATCGTTTTCACAACAATGCCCACAGTTTCAATAGCATTTGTTTTCAACAGTGGCAGGGGATAATTTCTGATTATTTTCTTCTGGAGCTGTGGCAGGCATCAAAAGCCTTAAACACACAGGACGGTTAAAACATTACCAAGGCCCTGGAGAGTGCTTTGAAATGCAAATGACAGTCAAGTACCCAGGGCTCTTGCCAGGGTTTCCACAGAGCCATTCAGTATTTTCTGTCTTTCCAACAGAAGCTTTTACACCTGGTCTTTTACAAGCATATCAGTGAGATGCAAAAGCCCTTAACATTCCAACAAAGTTTATTTTCTGAATATGCAGTTGACTGCCCTCCAAGGTAAATTCCAGTTTTCAGAATAAAACTTTAAATGAGTAGTTGTGCAGCTACTCTAAAAATTTCTAAGCTAGGATGCTTTGGTGCTATTCTGTTCTAGGTTGAAAACATATTTCATTTAAGAAAGTTTTTGTAATTTATTCTCATATGTGGCTTCACTTCACTGCATACTAGATGTTCAGTGGATGTTGTCAAAGGGAGATCCATGAAGAACAACATAAGCCAAAACCAGTCTAAAAGGCTTTTAGATGATAGAGATTTTAAGGGACAAAACCACTTAACCATATGTACATTGTACAGTCACTACCATCAACCAATACTACACCTCTTGCCTACCCAATTGGTACCAATGCACCTTCAAGTGGTGCAGACTAAACTGCAAAACCTGTAGCAGAAGTACCTACGGAATTAAGAAAAAATGAGAACAAATGGACCACAGGATTCCTACATACAACTAGTTTCAGCATAAATTTTGGTTTTAAGGCTGTGAACAAGCCAACCATCTGCTGTAGCACAGACAGCGAGTATTTATCACGTAAATATTCTCCATGTTGTACATTACCTTGTTGGAAAAACAGGATCTCAGAACACCACTCAAACTCAAATCAAGCATATTTGAAAACACACTCAACACTGTACCACAGAAAATCTAGAGCCTAGATCATCACTGTGGTCTCAATTCAAAGATAGGTAAGCCCTGACTCCTCACAAAAACTGGCTATTTTTTCTCTTCGTACTACCTGGAAAACAAGTTTGGCAATCATAAACTGGAAAGCTGATGAGGCCATTTTGGTTGTTCCCAATTCAAATTGACATGTCTCAGTTGTCATACTCTACAGTGTGATCTGGCATTTTTCCATTATGCTCCAAAAACTCTTTTAAATAGGAATTCCAAGAAAATGCCATTGCAAGTTAGTTTATGGTTGCTATTAAACGAGTTACAGAGCACTTATGAAAGTATTACAAGGTACCAGATAAAGTTCAACTTGGCATCACCTGACACCTGGGTGGGTAACACGACAGAAGCCTCCCAATAATCAGTACAAAGTAAGACACAGACACTTGCTTCCAAGTCTCACCTCTTATTTCTTTCATCACCTTCTAAGACTACCCAGGGATATTTGTAATTGGCAACATAAATGTCAAGCTGAACCAAGTCGTTGAGACTCTCTCTTTTTCAAGAAAGTCTAGCAGACATAACTGAGAACATAACACCATCTTACCTGCTAATACAGTAGAAAGCAATGAGTCTGAATAAATCAGCAAAACTTATACCAGACCCCTCCAAGGAAAATGCTGCAAAGAAAGTTACAAGAGAGAGAGAATCACACATGAATTCACCGTTTCTTAGAAAAGTTAAATGAAACATATTTCATATTTTTGCATAAAGTTAATAAGTTTTCCCCATTAAACTAGCTACTGTTTGGTTAAGAAAAAAACAACTCCGTGGAAGAGCACATGTTTCTGCTGAAGGCATTTTCAGGAATATACTGATAATCTTTGTGGACAGTTTGCTTTTGCATTCCAAGCACATGCTCTAATTCCTGTGAAACAGATGAAGTGTGACCCCCAGGCTTGGCGGGGACAGTCAGAAGCCATGCAGCCACTTTGGATACCTCAGCAAGACCTCTCAGTGAGCAGCAAACACAGAATTTGGTCAGTACTCCTGGCTGTAAAGCCAGCTCCTCCACACCAAGGTTCTAGTGTTACTGCCTATAAAGTCTGCTCGGGAACCAGAGGAAAATTTAGGCCAGGTGCCAACCTTTTCTCCAACTTTTACACCAAAGTACAGGTCAACCTGATCATTTAAGTGTCCAGAAAAACGGATTTCTTTAAGAGAGATGCTAACAATGCAGACAGTAAGCACACTGGGAAACTGGGAGTGGGATCAGAGAAGGCATGTGTTCATATCCCCATCTACAGCTAAAACTCAGCTGTGATGGGTAAGTAAAACTTTCAGTAGATACCTCCCCCTTGTGGAAGAATTTCATTCATAAATGACAATATATTATTTTTTCGTTTTTTGGATGGGAGAGAGGGAATTCATTAGTATCACAAGCCTACAAACACAGCCTTAGACCACACTTGGATCAACTAATGTGGAAAACTTTCTCTTCTCTTTGCTCATCTTGCTTCTAGCTGGAACCAAAACCAGATACACAGAACTACTATTGCTGGGAGAAGGGAAGGGAGAGATGAAAAAGGAAAAACTCAAATAAAATTTTGTCAGTTTACTAATAGAAATGGAACTACAGACCCTCTGTTTCAGGGAAGTTTAACTGAAATTGTTGCCAGTTTTCTCCAGTTTTCACTTTCTTGTTTAAATGAAACACTTGTTCCACTTGCAGTTTCTGCACCACATACGCTCACCAGCTGCAGCTTCCTTTTTTCATTCCTAAATCTCAAACATATTTTTCACACCTTCCCTCTAAAGATATGAGGGCACTGTTGGTTCAAAACCATGTGGAGTGATAAAATTTACTCATTTCCACAAAAAAGGCATATATAGATGGAATCAAAAAAGAGAAACATTGATCTTGCAACAGAAACAGCTAGATGGATTTTAACTCTTTGGAAACATTACATTAAAAAGAAAGCAAGCAAACAACAAAACAAAACAAAAAACCCACCCCACACCCAAATTTTGTACATATAGAGAGCTCATGACAAAGCTGCATCCAAGAATAGTCCCCTGAATACAAGGAAACGCAAGTACATTTCACTGACAGCAGACAGGATTATAGACTGTGTTTCTACAGAAGATATGTAAGTTTCTACAGAGGATTAACTACCCATAAAAATCAGTGAATCCTGGATTCAGCAAGGTATACAATGGAAACATTCCAGTTCCAGCACAGACTTAAGTGTCTCTATGTATCTTCCCTCATCTAGGGCATGCCCCACCCACTCACAGAGCCACCTCAGGCAGCACTGTAGGCAGCCCATGACATTATTTGCCTGACTTTGGGTGTCTTCTGTTGTGTGTTTCACCACTGCAAGTGATCCTGCATCATACAGGGAAAAGTATGTAACAAACAGCTGAAAAGTATGTAACTCATAACTTACTGTATGTACTTTCTTTTATGGCAAATTCTTTCAGGCAGGACCCACAGTCACTGGGCAGACGCAAAGAGATGACTTTCTTCTGCAGTCTTGCAGATTTTCTAACCAGAAATATCTGTTGTGGAGAAGGCAGAAGGACATGGTTTCAGCTTCATCACAGATGCTGTTACAGAGACAGATCACAGACAAAAGGAAGCAGAACAACCTCATGATATCTGATCTATGTAAAACATAACAGAATTTCAGTTGCTCGATGCTGTACCAGGTCCATAGTGTAACATGGCAGCAGCACACTTAGAGAAAGCACCTCCTCCTTGTATAACAGAGGCATGACACTGAGTCCACTATGTTCTTCTCTGAGCTCTCCAGCTGGACACACAACGAATCCCAAGGTTTGTTTTTTGGGGTTTTGTTTAGGGTTTGGATTAATCTTCCCCCCCCCCCCAAAAAAAAAATTGAAGTGTAACCTCTTACCCCAGGAGGCTGGGCCTGAAGAATTTCCATGGCTTCAGCATCATTCAGACCGAGCTGCAGCCACACAGGGTGAGTATGGAGGAGTTTGTCCAATATGCTCAGCTTGTTGGATAGGCTGTCATAACCAGAGTCCCGGGGGCAGCTTTTTACATCTTTTTTGTCAGGAGAGACATTATCCATGTCCTTTATTAGACTGTGGAAAATTAAAAAAAAAAAGAGAAATTAGATATGCTAACCTTCTATGAACAATCATTCAGTTCAGCAAACAGAATTATTGCAAAGCTAATGGCACTCCTGGCACTCTAGACCGATATTTCTCCTACTCAGAGTTCTTATATTTAGATACACAAAAATTCTCTTTATAGGTTCTCAATTCAAAGCCAACTTTAAGATAAGCCTTAGCATTCTTCTGTGAGGTTGCAGAAATTCAGCAATCACTTCAGATACAGCTGTATGCACACGTGTGATTGACTGAACATTGCAGTCACCTTCTTTGCTATGCTAACGTTTGGAAAAACTTCTCTTTAAGGGCATTTATGCAGTTCAGACACTTTTATTCCCACATCGATTGCAAATGCTGCCACCTACAGAAATCCTCCTCTATCATGCCTGACAGAAAAATCTGTTCAATCCTCTGCCAGTGCAGGCACTCACTGCCTGTTGGTGATCGTTGCACCAGACACAAGAACTTAGTCCATTCATTTGGAGGGATTATTTTCACAACAGAAGCCCACAAAACAGCATCACTTCATCATATCCCCAGGCTATTGTCTCTGCTCCAGCAGCTCTGTTGCCTTCGCAGCTGCATATCCAACTTTGTTCCCCTCTGCTAAAGAGTGGTCAGAGACCACAGTCAGGAGAAAAGAAAGAGTGAGAGGAGGCAAGAAAGACATGAGTAAGACAAGAAAGAGACAAGAAAAATGTTAAATCCCCCAAATAACCCTCTCTAAGGCACAGCTTCATTAAGAAATCATTGTAGGAGGTAGTTACTTTTTATGGTCTTGGTGCTAACATTTGTAAATATTTACATTCTGCCATTTTGCCATGAAAGGTCCCTACCTCACATTTTATAAATATACTTCCCAGAAGCAAATAAGGAATTTTATTTATGCTCCTAATTCCTTTGGCTCTGGATTGATCCCATAAGAAATAAAGGCTAAGCTACAGGTTAAAATTTGTTTGCAGCAGGGCATCTAAAGTTACTGCTACATTCAGTAATGAAGTACATTTCTTCAAGGCTACAGACACTTGTTATTAAAAATCCAAATAAACAGAACTTTGAGAACTCCTTTTATCATGCAAAGCTTCATCATCATCCATGTAACACAGTACAGTCAATAAAACTGCATGTGTGTTGCTGGTTCAGATTCCTCATTTTTGAGCTAGAAGTACATCTATCCTGTGATTCTCCCAGTGCTAGAAATCACTACAGAACAGTTACTCTGGTAACAGTTTCTTGATGACAATATTTAGAAATGGACAAAAAGCCTGCAAGCCCGAATGTGACTCCCTGAGATGTCAGGCAGAGGGAATGTGTGGTCCCTACAGACATTTTCTGAGAGCAGAAGAGGCCCTGCGCAGCAGAGGGCAATGCAGCTCCACTTCCCCACTGCAGGTTGTTTGCAGCTCTTCTTAAGCTCGTGCTTTCAACAGGCCTTAGCATCACTGACAGCATTTACCATGTGCATTATGCCAGCTGCTGTACCCAGCAAAAGTGGGTACAGAGTTAAAAAGCACAGGAACACTGAATACTTAGAAAGAAACAAACAAAAAGCCCACTCCCCCCCCAAAAAAAACCATACCAAAGAAAACAAACCAAATTAAACCCTACCAACTAAACAAGAAAAAAACCCAAACCACCAAACTGTTTTCTTCTAGCTTTGGTCAGCAACTTGCAGCATCTCTGGATAGGGCTAGAAAGGAAAGTAAATGTGATAGAGAACTTTCACTGTATTATCAGATGAGAACGGGCACAATCCTTTGGCTTTTCATTACCTGGATCAATTACCACCACCAGCCTGTGCCTCCCTTTCTTTTGTCCTCTTTCTGTTTGCTTTTTTATGGCGTGATGCTGTCCAGATTTACAAGGAGTCTAAAATGCAATGATCTTCCCCAGCCCACAAGAGTCAGAAGCTTTTAGGAACTGCCAATACGCCTTCAAGGGGCACAAAATACACAGAAACACCTTGTATGCAGAAGGGAAGTACTGCTTACATCAGCCATGACAGGGCTCTGAAACTGTCCCAGCAGGAATCCTGGGCTGCCCTTTCAATAAGAACCTAGTGTCCTAACGCATGAATCTCCACAAAAGTCAAATCATCAACCACAACAGTGTTTTCATGAGCTGTGTCTCCAGTAAATATTGCTCAGAAACGTTCCACTCACCCTCGGTGCCAGTTAGCCACTTCACAAACTAAGGGGAGCTGTGGCGAAGTGCGAGTTACGCACCAACACTGGCTGCAAGCTTCACTGGATATAAATGATTTCCATTCCTTGGTCAGGAGGTGAAAACGACACATGCTGCAGGGGGAATATGTCCAAGAGGGTAAAGTTTTTTGCCTACTGAAGAAAGCTACAGCACATGCAAAAGACGATGCAAACTGGTATAACCTAGAATGCCTGGCACTGCTTGCTATCACAAAACCACCTAAAGCTGGCAAGTGTTTTCACAAATATGTAGGGGCACAATGTTCCCACTTGGTATGACTGGTTCAGTGCTCCCACACACCCCCTAAACCATTATAAATCAGAAGATTAATCTGAATAGGGAGCTGTCAGGTTTTTGGAACCCCCAGGTAGTTACATGCACAATCCCCTCCACATGCCGAGACCCAAGGAGGAAACTGACTTAGATACACAGACACCTTCCTTGTTGCAGTTGCTTCTGCCCCCTCAAGAAATAAGCCTAAGATTATGGGTATCTGATCATGAAAAGAATTTCTGCCACTCCTAAACACTAATGGTTCAAACAACCCTGATGCAACTCAGCTAGATCATCACTACTAAGTTACTGCGGGGTGGTAAACAGGAACAAGCAACACTTAACAAAAATTACTTCCTATTCCCAAATAAAAAAGAAGGAGGAAGAGAGAAAGATCAGACCTGGTGAACTCTAGAAAGAGCATAGCTCAGAAAAACCACATGTGACAAACCACATACCACCTACAAGCAGTCGCTTCCCCAGGTCCAGGAGCAAGCGCAGTCAAAAGCCCACTGGTCTGTTCTGACAGTCTATTACAGCGGCCTAGCACTCCCGAGCATCATGTTCCCAGTTTGGCTTTTATTCTTAAATTCTTTTTAATTAATGATCTGGGCATTAGACATACAGTCAAACCCTGACACATGGGAGTTTTTGTAATCTGTCTTGTCTTAGACCGTGAGAGTGGGATGTGTGTGTAATTACTTTGGAAACAACTGCATTGAAAGAACAACCATTTGAATTCCTCATGATCCACTGATTAATTCAAGTGTACAGAATAAGAAGTTGCTGTAACCTAAATGCTAGCAAAATATGCTGTATATTATGCAACAACTAAATTTCTCTCCTGGTTTATTTTTGGCTTGGGGGAAGGTTGGTTGTTTGGTTTGTGTTATTTGTTTGGTGTTTTTTTAGAGAGACTCTTGATAAAAGACAATCTGACTAGGTCACACTAAACTCAAAACACAAATCACAGATGGTCTGCTTTGATGCAGGGATGCTACACTGATTCCTCTTCAGTGGGAAAGGAGTTTCAACACAACTCACAATGAATTGAAGAAAACACACGATTCACGCAAGTTTCCTTAGACTTGAGAAAACCCACAATCATGTGGAAAGTAAACAGAGGTAAGTGCCAAGATAAACAGTGCTGTGCTGCATCCTGATTAGACTTAGCTCACAGTAAAAAAGACAAGGAAAAGGTTGAAGCCTGTAACCAGGATGATTTTCGCTCATGATGTGAGTCTTGCTCCAGTCCCACCAAAGTTAACCACCCCAGAGTCAATTCAGTTTGACTACCCACTGCTAAAGGGCCTGGGTTTCTGTAAATTCTGCAGTCTAACAGGTCTTAATCACACCAGTCTGGTCTACACAGTCATACTGACCATCGACTGGGGTAGGGGGAAAAAGGGCTAAAGCCTATGCTGAACATTATCTCCCCTCTTCAGCAGCCAGCCTGTCATTTCCTCCTGCATCCCATCACAGCTAAAAGATGATGGGCAAAAGGTTATTGGATACTTGCCTACCTGTCTACAATAACACAAGCAACTCACTGCGCAAGGCACAGGAGAGGACTCTAGTGTAGTAACTGCTGTGTAAAGGACACAGGCATGAGGGCTGTGCAGTGCAAGACACGAGGGAAAGAGCAAAGCTCTGCCCTTCCTTCTGTCACAGGAACAGAGCAGGAAGGGAATAAGCTGCTGCAGCTGCCACCACCACCAAAGCATCCCTGAACCACCTCACAGGCATCAAATGCCCCAGGGAACCTGGAGCTTTACAGCCTTCCCTATGGAGAGATGGCAGCCAGGGCTGTCCCGTCACGGACACTCAAAAGAACAGACACGCAGGGGTCCTGTGGGCCAGGGCCCCTGAGGGAGACCCAGAGCCTCCTAAATGGTCAGTCAGGTGCCACCTGTCAAACCACACGTGCTCCCAGGCTGCCACTGCATGCAGAAGCTCTCTTGTTACTCTTTTAAAGGTCACCAGCACTGCATGGGACAGAAACCAGTCCCGTGAGTGCCCTTTTTTGACAACTCTGTTCACGTGCACTATGGAGATAAATGTTTGCGCAGGGAAAAAGTCCTGGCATCGAACACATGGAATATTGAAACACAGTCTGAGCATCCCCCTTGAAACACAGTTCTGCAAATCATTTTTGTTGTCTGGCATTTACATGCTTACAAGCCAAAGTTGTGGACCCTTGAATCATTCTCATTATTACTTGGGCCATATATGTTAAAAGGGGAGATAAGCCCAAAACAGAACTGTGGGGAGGAGTATAAATCTGAAAGTTGCCACATAACCGCAAAAAAAACACACCACAACACTAAAGTTGCAGGCACACAATTTTGTGCAGTTATTTTTTTGAACTCAGTCAAGAACTCTCGCAACTGCTGCCTTTCTAAAAGTGCCTTGTGCGTCTGTGGATAATGCACCTGGTAAGGTGAGAAAACGAGTTTGAAAATATTTAGCTCACATTTCTCTGGATGAGAATCCAAAGGTCGTATCAAGAGACCAGCTTCTGAACAGCAGAACACACAATAACAAGAGCAAACTACATTAATTACCAAGTTTTAAATTAACTACAAAGAAATAAAGTTATGACTAAACACAGCCTTGTGAAGTGTTTAGTTTAAACAAGAGCTCTGGAAAATCTTGCTCTGTAGCTCTATATAAACACAACTAGGTGCAACTAAATTATGAAACTTTGATACAGAGTCTTCCTTACATAGAAGCACACAGTGCAGAATTACATAGTCATAGAAAATTTGACATTTGCTAACTTATTTAGATTTCATATTTTCCATTTATTATCTCAAGGTGACAGAAAAGAATGTTTGGGGGTTTTTTTGGTGGCTATTATGTCAATATGAAATTTACTTCAACTAGGTAGTCCTGGAAATTGCATTATTCACTTTTTTATGTTAGCTTTACTTACATATTTTTATCATTTTGCACTCAAGATTAACAAATTCAGCTTAAAAATCCATTTAAAAAATCAATGAAGAAACCCCCACGATCTATGAAATACAGAAGTTTAATTGACTGTTTCCAGCTAAGTCCTTTCACCAAGATTCTACCAGTAGATCTTAGCCTTTCATGCATATGGTGTTCTCAAAGATACAATAAGCCTTTTCTTAACTGAAAATTAGCTGATGATCATTCAAATTAACTAGTTGAGCGCACCAAAATGAAGAAAGTATCCTTTCTGACACTGTAAGAGAACTGTACTCTATCTGCCCTGTAATATGTACCTCAAATCATCTTAAGGAAATGCCCCACCTACTTTATTTTTTTTATGTGCAAGTTACTCATATATAAATTAAACACATATCTCACATAACATATTAGCTCATAACAGTCAATATTTTACTTTCTAACTCAGGAACACAAATCAATCATATATTATGGTACGTTGAATCTTCACAGAGCCACTTGAGGCTATGCACATTTTGTCTTTACAGTGTGAAGGCAAAGCTCTGCCACAGACAATGGGAATAAAGTTTCCTCCTTTAGACATGCATCAGTATCCAAGGTTTTTAACCAGGAAGTAGAAGTGAAGCTCAGTTGCTGTCAGAAGATATTAAGGCAAATACACAGAAAACTGGATCTCTGGGCACTCCTGCACAAAGGCAAATTCCTTGGTTCAAGAGCAAGATTATCCACACCCCCTATGCTGCTGGGAAGAGAAGGGGAAGGACATAAGCCACCCAAGAAGACAGCGCAACGAAAACATTCCTGTCACAGTAGACCTCCAGGAACTATGAAAATAAACATTTTAATCACCTTCGCAAATCAGCAGATTCATCTTCCACTGTGAGATCTGTCTGTACCATCTCCTGTTTCAGTTCTCCAATTTCTGAGGCAATGGTGTCAATGAGCTAGAAAGGGACAAAAATAGTATGACGTCAAGTGAGTGGAAGAGGCGTGGAAAAGAAGCCCGGGCAAGTTTAGTCACCAGAGATTACAAACTGGTTTTTTTTTTTTTTTGCAAAATCACATCCTATTTGGACTTCCCCTTGCAAAGGAAAAAGTAAGGGTTGGAGCCACTTAAAATAGTTCTCAGAGGAAGAATCATTCCTGGTTTGTGCCAGTACAACACCTTCCAGGTTGGCTAGCCTTTTTATTTAAATATATTCAATTTGCAGCCTCTACATATTATACAACAGCTTAGAAGAACTAAATTATTCAGTTATTTGTAGCATTTACTTTCTCAAATAAAACGGAAAAATATATTTAGAACAGTTCCGTCTGCAAGAGTTCGACTGCAGAAGGAGCACTCAGCCAGCGTTACGGTACCGTGGAGGATGAAAAGCAATGAAGCAAGAAAGGAATGAGTAGCTGCTTTTCACATTAGGTTTTGGATTCCACTTGAACAGAACAATTCAGTTAAAAGGAACTGCCTTGTAACAGTTCAGCTCAGGTGGAACACCATCCTAATTCTGGGCATTAGGGCAAAACCTCATTTTAATGCGGGTAAGGTTAGCATGCAGGCTGTATCCTGAGAAATGAAGAATTTGCTCGCCAGAGTTCTAGGAAACATTTTGTTGAGCGGAAACCAACTACGAAGTTTGCGAGCCATGCTGTCTTGAAAGCTTTTTGCAGCCAATGCATCAAGTTTGCTCGTCACGCTGCACCACGACAGTACATAAACCCTGGCACTGTTCCCCCTTCTCCTGCCTGGAGAGAACCTGATAAAAAGGTCTGCAGTGATGCAGTGATCTCTACCACCACCCCTGAACTGCAGAGCAAACAAAACACCGGTACATGAAGCAAAAACAGCTTTCCAGTCCAAGTTACAACAGTCTTCACAGTCGCTCACAAGACATGACCTTGAGTCCCGCTCAGGGTAGGCAGCTTTTTCAAAGAATTGTGGGCATCATTTTCCTATATTTTTTCACTTGAAGATTTCCTCTACCTCAGGAATTCACTCTCTCCTTTGCTGTGCACAATTATTCCAATCAATTTAAAAGAAGTTTTAGTCTCTGCTTACAACTGGCCAACCTCAACTGAGAGTGAATTGCCATTATCCACACCATTTCTGTCAGAGCTCCCAGACATACTGTACCACTGGCATGGCAAAGACCTTCCACCTGCTGAGTCTTAAACACCCCTGAGTCACTGCAGCCAGATGTTAGCAATGCCTTCCTGAGCATGGGAAAGGGAAGAACCCACGCCATCCTGCCAGGGCCACAGCACCCCCAAACACCCAGAGCACAACCTGCGCTCCACTGAGTGCAGCTAAGCACGGGTAAATCCATCCCTCCCTTTGCAGAAGGGATGAATCCAGCCCCACACTGGCTTTACATGGTGCAAAACACACGGCACTGCTGTCCCATGAGTCTCACTCAAAAGAGGCCACTGCACCTCCAGGGGTGCCTTGAAGAGAAGTTATCATTCCCGAGGGGAATGTTTCCATGTTTAGCAATTTCACTTTATCTGAAGAGAACTTCAATAAAATGGCACATTTCAAGGAGTCTTACGCTCACATTCTATTCTACAGGTCAAATTTCTAGTATATACTACATATCCCCCATGACAAGGCAGTCTTTCCTTAGTCTATGAGAAGTCAGTACATCCTGGACAAGGAAACCTGGTAAAGTGTGGCATCAAACCGAACAGAACACGCTCTGCAACCCAGCAGTGACTTATCACCTACCACCCAGTACCTCACCTGAAAGAAAACATTTATCTTCAAGATTAAACCCCCCATTTTTTCCTAAAATAAACCACCAAACTGCAACTAATTTCCCTTAAATTTTCTTTATGGTAAAAAAAGTTATTCTTAATTTAAAAAAAAAGGAAAAATGTTTTACAGAGTTGAATCATTTGGGTATTCTTGCCGTTAAGTGACACATACTGTTACAACACCACCTGACAGATCATTTTCCATCAAATAACACAGGGTGTACTCATGATTTTATGACATCATCTCCAAAGTATTTAGGATCGATGAAACTTCTGGTGATTATGCAGCACCTGTGATGCACACATGATTAGCATCATACAAGATGAGCTGTTAATAACATGTTTCTGCAAAATACAGAAAGAATCCTGGGTATGTACTATTATTAGCTTCAACCCTGAGAAAACAAGCAGCAGCAAAGCGCTCTGCCTTTTTAAGTGCAATTGGAATTCTTCAAACAGATTTCTCTACTTGCAAAGAGTGTGATATCTATTTGGCTGGAAATAATTGGAAAACTCACCCACTTTTTTCAACAAACTTGAAATCAAGATAGTAAGAGCCAGTTTCCAAAGGAAAATACTACTGAAGTGGATGGACAAATTTGTCAGAGGCCACTGCTAATGTAAAATAGAATACATGAACCCAAAGACTTAAAAAGTAATCAGAAGAAATCTGTTGCAGCCTATTTAGGACTATGAAATAGATATTACCCTGCAATGCTACAGAAAGAGGAGGTTTACTTGAAAAGAAATGCGTTTGGAAGTATGACACGCTCTCAGGTGGTTAATTATTTAACAATTAAAAAATACCCCAAAATTAAAATGAGACCTTACATAACATGATAAAATAGCCATTTTTGAGTCTAGTGATTTTCCTTTGGAATTTATTTCTGATAGAGCACTGTTCTGTAGGTTAAAAAGAAACTACAGCGTAACCACTGTAAACCCAAATAATAATTATGACTCAAGACAGCATGAACTCACACAGCAGCCCAGTACGATATTCCCTAACCAAACAATCCTAAACATCAGATTGCCAAATACCATGGACCGTTTACATGCCTAATATCCATGAAGGAAATAATGAAATGCAAACATCGGACACCACAACGTTTCCTTTCATAATGTACCACGCTCTGCGTATTGCCAACTGATTCTTCGTTCAGTGAGACTGAGCTCAGCTTTCGGAAGCTGGTGGCGGTCACACTCCTACATCCAGGCCACAACCATGGCACTCCGGCACCCCAGCACTCTGCCACCACAACCCATATTCCATATCTGGTTCGCATCTTTCAGCATGTCATATAAGCAGCAAAACCAAGAGTAAGTGTGTTCACCGGAAGCAGCGCGCTCCCAAGGGGCTACAGTCACCTTTGTGAAGCTGCTCTGCCGACTCACACATCACTGCTGTGCGGCAGGGAAGGCAAATCCCAGGACCAGATACAACCAGTGCCTCTCCTAGAAGCACAGCCTAACTGTAGGTCTTCTTACTCACTCAACTGATGAAGAGCTTCCTGTTCCCAAGAGGAAGACAGGTGGCTTTGATTTGATGTCTGTCTCAGGACATTTCTAGAAAAAATCCGCATGACAACTGAATTCCTGTTTTTTGTGCTGAAATTCCACTAAGATTGTACAGGGAATTAATGAAACTGCCATCTCTGGCAGCAAAGGAGGAGCCAGCCAAGCAGACCACTGCAGAATGTTTCCAAGCCCTGAGATTTACAACAGCTGAAGAGGAAAAGGTAAGATCAGTGCTTCTAATCTGGCAAGGGAACCCAGGCTGAGGATAGCAGGATCAGTATCAGACCGGACAAACGAGCCCCATTGCTTACCACCCCCTCTTCCTGCCAGCATCTCATTTTTCATTCTTTCTATAGACCTGCATCCTCTTTGGCATCACATCTTTTCCTTCCTGTTTTGATAAGCAGAACGTAGCAACCCTCACAGAGCACCCTGTGTGATGAGGTGGCGAAATGCCAGAGATGAGCCCAACTGCGAAAACAGCTCCTGGACTTGTGCAAATGTCTGAATACAATCAAGTATTTCGATACACGGCTGCAAATTCTGGTTGTTTTGCACAGTGAGCTGTGAATTCTCAGGGCCATTGACATAGTTCACTGTCTTATTCATCAGTAAGTAACAAAGTTTTACGCTATGCTTGGTTTTGGAACAGAAAAGCTTTATTGGCATAAAACCTCTGATACCAATTCAGTAAAGACTGGAACATCTTGACAAGAAGGAGGATGTTTCAGTAAAGAGGGCATTTCTCAGAGACATGTATATTCAGTTCCTTGCTTTCCTGCACACTCCCTCTGTAACCACTGGCATGACACGCAGTCCCAGAGTTACGCAAGACTAACTCCATCTTTGCTTCATTGTTACTACTTGCTGGATCTAAGCTTCATCAACTGCGAGGCACAAAGAGTCCACAAAATTTAGCCTGTAAAACTACAGACCTCTGCTCTGTGTGAAATGGGGACAATACTGTTCTCCTTGTGTACCAAAAATCAAAAGAACGTCCGTGAAAAGACTAAAAGATGGCAAGAAGCTACAGCAATGAGAAGTACTTAAGAACCAGAAAAAACCCATAATGTTGGAATTTCCCACTGGTATTTGTCAGTGATTTTTTCTGGAAAATGTTGCTGAGAACGGTAAGATACTTTTTTATGGTGATTTAAGTGCCCTGAGAATCTGCATGCCAGCGTGGTAAAGGTTTCTTAGGCAACTGCAAAGTAAAAGCACAACACAAACAAGTGTTTTGTTTGCTCACCCTTTTAGGTGTAGCAAATATAACTGTTGTCACAATTTTATTTATGTGGGGGAAGGAAAAATCAAAGGTAATTTCACTGTACACTGTACACACTGTACATAAGACACCGGGTGCAGTGCGTACAGGCTGGGTACACTGTCTGCCTGCAGTTCCCAATTCAACCCTGGGGGTTCAGAACCGCAGCCTAACAGTGCAACTTCCCAGGGATGGGGAGAGATCTGAAAAAGTAGCTTTGAGGTATCTTTTCCCCAGCCAGCCTGTCCTTAGAAAAATTTAGGGCAACCTTAGTTTCTTAATTGACAATGCTTCTTACAGCCTTAAAGAGTCCCATGTCTAGAAATTGCTAAGGCAGACTGCATTCCTAATCATTCTGAGTAACAACAACCGCATCATCATGAGCAAAACAGCTGTTCCAGCATGTATTTTCCACACAAGAATTACACAAGGAGATAGCAAAGGACTGCAGGACATGGACACTAGCTTACAGTCCCATCTGACATTCGGATTGCTTCAGCATACATGTAAGTGACAACCTAGAAATATTCCTCAGAACTGAGACAGTTTCTTGCTATGATTTGAAAAAATACAGCTTTTCTCCCTAAATGGCTGTGGACTGCCATTAACAAGGTTGATGTTTATGGTGCTGAGTTATGAGATGTAGCTGAAGTGTGTTGCAAAACTTGAGAAGTGGTTCCTGTCCCTGGAATACCCTCTTAATAGCTGAGCACACAAAGCCCTGGGCAAGCCAAAGAGAGAAACACACTGTCACTGCAGCGCTGCTTGTTCACTTCCTAAAGACTGGCTTAAGCTAAAGACAGCATGTAGCACCTGGAACAAACCCTTCAGTGGCGCTTGTGTGCCACTGCCGCAGTACTGGTGTGAAGCTGCTGACACCAAAACTGGTCCTTGCACACACTATAGCTCTCCATGGGCTAAAGGCACCAGCCACCACTTGCTTGGCTCCCCTTTGCCTGTAGCCTGTTGTGAGCGTGTTTATCACCTACTAGAATAACCCCCCCCCAAGCATTAGGGCCAGATTCAGGCAGCAAAAGAAGGGTATTTCTGTCCCAGAGGAAGAGAAGGAATGGAAGCAGTGACATGCAAAGATGGCAGCAAGTGTTGCACTTTCACTGGCAGAAGCTGCAGCAAGCAATGAATATTGGAAGGGATGAGATCATGGTTAAGTTAATTCAGTGCTCAGAAACACCCACAAATTTTGACTGCTCCTTAAAGCAAAGCCTTGCCCAGCAAGACAGACACTGCAACTCCGGCACTTACCACAAAAATACACACTTTTGCTGGTCAGTGGCAGGACACCACAGTTTGATAGGTCAGTATCCTTTCCATACAGAGGCACTGCCTGGACACTATTTTCCCTGTCCTGCTTTCTAGAAGCACATGGTGTTCACAGCTGTACTCACACCATGCACATGAAGGCTTTGACAACTGTACTGCAGATCAATTAATCCCTTTTACTAAAAGAAAATCTTACTTGCAGCATTCTCTGCAATTAAATTCAGCACTGCCTCCAGACCTCCTCCACTACACATAAATACAACAGTTAATGGGATTCAGTTGTGTTTTGAAAATTGTACTGATAACTCCTACTGCACCACAGCTTTTCGGGATGCCAAATTTTCCCAAAATAGGTAAGGAAATGAAACCAATTTTCAATCCAGTAATAGAAATCATAAACCTGTACCACAACTTTAAATGGCACAAATCCACCTTATGAAAGCTCTTAACAACTTTATGCCTGTGCACAATAAAGCTTATGTTCTCAGCATTAGTGGCAAAGAAAGGCACAAGCTATTTTACACCAAATATTCTCTTCAGTGTGCAGGAAAACAATATACACATGAAATAACTGGGGGGTAAGGTAGCCACAAACACCACCTGTAAAAAGAAATGCTCAAGAATTACTCCCTATTTTACACAAAAGGCTTGTTATGTATCACAGAGAGCACTGAACATTCTGCAGCACTCATTTCACACTAACCCGTGTACTTTATGTTCTGTATAAATATCCCATTTACCTTAAAGAAACTTCCTCTTTTGTCCAGACAACAGGTTTTCATTGTCAAAGACGACATCTTCCCTGAGAAGACTCCACTGTATGCTCTGAACTCCTAAAAGCAGAGACATTTTTTAATGGTTAGTCCAGTCTGTAGGAAATTCCTCTGCATTTCTAAGCCACAGAAACAGTCACAACAAGCCTTCTGCCAAAACCCTTTCTGTCAACAACACTGCCATTTATTTCCTACCAGAGTCCTTACGTATCCCTTCAGTCTATTATTTTTCCATAAATCGCTTCAAAAAAACAGTGCTACTCAGAGTTCCATGTTTCTCCCTTCTATTCACAGCTGATCCTGTAGCTGTGAGGAGATTTTAATGTGCTCATTAAAAAAGAATGCTAAAACATAATGATTGCTTTCTTTGTTTGCTTGACCTCAGCCTGCAGTACAAATAGAACAAAATGTTAAATGTCACTATAAGCTGCTCTCAAATATTACAGTATTAATGGGATTTACCGGGTGGGAAAAAGCAATTTAAAATCACTCACAAGGGAGAAAACACATTAGCATTAAAGTAAAAACTGATGAAGGGAAAAACAAAAAAAAGGCCAAACACCCCCCAGAAGTGCTGCTTCAAGTTCCTAAAATGCTACTGAGTCACATCCAAGTGAGGAAATGAAGACGCAGTTAGGAAGAAACTGCATTTTCCATTCTCAGGTAAACTTCATGAACGGTTTAACACCCAGGAGAATAAACACACTGATCCATTACTAGAACATACCCATAGAAGGAGGAATATCATTGGGGTGATCTCCAGCTGAAAGCAGAGTAGGACAGTTCACACCAGTAATTTGTGAACAAACTTCTGAACTAAACAGGAATCAGTTCCTTGGCTAAAAAGTCCTTCTAGGATTTTTAAAGGTGAGTTTATAATTGCATTTAAACAGCCTAACTCTCCTCCTTGCCCACACATTTACCAACCACACAGCAGGCAGTCATGCTGGAAGTTTCAGTTACCTAAATGTTGAATAATGCAAGTGCAAAAGAGCACAGAGTAAGACAGAGGCACAGCTTTTAATCTGATAAAAGCAGAAATTAAAATAAAAATGGCTGTGAGCAGCAGTGACAAGTTTAGTGGCATGGTTGCAGAGGGAGATTGAGCAGAACTAAGCAGCTGGCACGGACGATGCTGACAGGTCCAAACCCAAATCTGACACATACCCCTCGCCACGCACATACACTTCTGCTTCCCTCTAAAGCCTTCTGAGAAAGAACTGGCACGGGTGAGTAACACCAAGGTGGAAGGAGGAGCTTAAACAAAAAAGGGTTAAATGAAAAAACCTTGGCAAGCAAAAGAACTGGAAAAGGCTGACAGCCAGAAGCAGGAGAAAAGAAACATTTTCTTTTGGTTTTAACAAATAGCAGGAAGCTTTAAATAGTTTGCCCTGTTTCCAGAGGTCATACCACGACAGCACCAGAAAAGGTTACATTTTTCCACTCAGATTCTGGTCAAAAAGCAGCCGTGCTGGGAAGCTCAGGAACCTGCCTGTTTTCCAGGCAGAGTTTGCAGACTTTAAAGGCTGAAAGAAAAATCTTGAATTCTGCATTGTTATGAAAGCCAAACCAGGAAAGGACAAAAAACGGTGCAGGCAAAAAAACAAAATAAAGAAAATTAAAAAAAAAAAAAAAAATTCCAACTTTCTTTGTAAAGCAGTGTATTTAAAGGATACACTCCTGGTGTGGCTCTAAAATATTGTGATCTGTGTTTCTTTACCTAGAAGGGCATCTAAATAACTTCACTGTACCAATCCCATAAGAGATTGATGTTCAGTGAAGTGGTGGGGTTTGCAGGTGCTATTAAATCACTTAATCTCTGTGTCCTCATTTGCTGCATGCACAGGGGGACAGAAGAATTGCTCCACTCTGGGGACATCAAACATTTAGAAGACTTTTGGTATTTGATACTGGCTATTGTAAACAATCCAAAGGCTGCGTATAACAAGTTTTTTTTAAATTACAAAAAAAAGATTGGTTTTTGTCAATGAATTCTGGAAAGGGAAATTTGCACCTGAAAGACTTAAGTTGGAGGGATACTCAAGAAACCCAAAAAGGAATTACAATAAAACCTCAATTTTCCAAGCTGATCCTCATCCCTAAACAACAACACCAAATTAAATTCCATAGGGAAAAAACCTAGAGACTTTAAAGGAGTTACATTAGAGGGTTATAAGCAAGATCATGCAGTTGTGATTGCAGCTGTTATTCACTCCATTTGCAAACAACGACCCCTTCACAGGAAATCTCATGTCTTTTATTTTTTTTTCAATTTAACCACAAGGATGTCTGCACACAATCCTACTACTAAAATAAGATTACCATGCCAAGATTTTTGCATTCCTCACTCAAACATACAGACAAGTCCAAACACACAAATACAGTTTCCCCTTCAAAGAGTGGTATGACTCCAGTCAGAAGAAAGCCTCAAACATGACCACTTCATATTTTACTTATAAGAGGTTCTGGAGCTCTGAATTGTTTCATAACTGCTATTATTGTTGCTATTTATGCAACAGTACTGTGACCTGTAGGACCATAACTCCGAGCTCGAGCCATTGCTCTTCTCAGCTCCACAAAGCCAGTGAATCAATCCCCGCTCCCCTTTGTGGTTACAACGTAATTTCAAACTGATTTAGGGTAACCTAAATAATCTTCCACAACTGAGTGTGTTTTAGTATTTCTGACTAAAACTAGCACAATGGGAAACACTGCTGGGGTTTTTTGTATTTGTTGTGAGGGGTTTTTTGTGTGTGCAGATACTTCTTTTAGGTCACCCAATACACAAACAGACATTAAGGCTCACTGGTAAAAGGGATGGCCAGGGTACAACACTTAAAAAATGGAGGGTGGGCTCCTACCTCAGGGCTCAGAAGTACCTCCACATGGTGCAGGAACAACTGCAGAAAAACAAACCTACTGTCAGGAGATTTCATTTCTCTACAGAGCTGTCCACATCTGATGTTTATTCAGATCCAAAACAGGCTCAAAACCCACTGCTCTGGAGTTGTTGTCGTTGAGTTTGGACAGTTTGAGGTTGTCAGAAAAGAAAAAATCTCCCTCCTTTGACTGGGATGCCAGGTTTAGAGAAAGTCAGCAAAGTATGTCATCCTCTCTACATACTGGAGAGAAGCATTTTCTCCTCCCTCTGTAATCTAGGCACTGAGGCAGAGCCTTGACAGATTCACTTAGATACTGCCTGTGTGCCTGCTCAGAAAGCCATCTGAAAATGTCACCAGGCTGCAGGAACCAGCTCACTGAATAATTCATGTGACCTTCTGCCTGGCCATCTGGAAGCCGCTCCTTCTCCGTGTTCCAGTGGCCAGTACTTTTACCTGCTTCACAGCCTGCACAGCTCAGGGGGCAGCAGGTGCCAGACGAGTCCCCGCTGCCCCAGCCTTGGCTGGCCCCCTCCCCACAGTGCCAGGCTCTCCTGCACACAGTGCTGTCTTCCCGCAGCTCTTCACAGCCAGGACAAAGCTCACGTGCAGGAAGGACAAGACAGAGCAGGGAAAACGAATGATCTGCCTGCCTGGCAAATTTCCCTGAAATCCAATGCTACTGCACGGATGCTGATGCCCATGCAAGCCGTATGCTTCAAAAAGGTGGGCTTTTCATCTGCTTTCTTCCACTCCCTTCTCTGGGTTTTCATTCACACAGGAATGCCAGAGCACCGTCCACACGCTTGGATGTAACTGAGACTTTTGACTTCTTGTCAAAACAGCTCCTACTTTACTCCCCCTCCAGCAATTTTGTTTGGTATTTTGTACGTTCCTTAAACTTAACTGTAGTAGGGCCAATGACCATCTTACTGGACTATTCAGGTTCCTTCCCTTTAATCCTCTCATTCCAATCTTGCTCTTACTCAGCAAAACATCCCATTTTCTTTAGCCAAAAGTCCTGGCAAAGATGAGACGCCTCCCCTGAGCAAAGGCCACAGCTACCTCGGGAACTTAGAAGTCCCTGCCCACAATCCCCCCTACTCCACCTCTGCTCGGTTTCCGAAGGAATCAGCGCTATCCAACTGCACTGCCTTTCTGTTCCTTACTTCCTAACTATGATTTTTAACCTTTTGGCCAACCTAACAAGATCTAAACACTAAGGACAGAGGGAGGAGACTCCATGTGTGCCACCACTGAAGGAAGAGATCTCCAACCTTCCTTTTGCTGGCTGACCTACAGAACAGAATTAGCAGAACCCACGTTTTTTTCTGTATTTGAAGTGTAAGTTATCCCACTGAAGAAACCCTCTTTCATTCTCAACCTGCAAAGGCCATGCAACCACTGAGCATAGACTGTCACAGAAAGTATTTCAGGCAAATTAAGAGATGGTTTTACTGTTCTGCAGCCAAGGAAGAGCAGGAGAAAATATCAGGCCAGACCTTAAGTATAAACTGGCAAAGGTCAGTTGATGTCAGGAGACTAATGCTGATTGCTACCCATCACTGTAGTCCTTTGGCCATCCCCTTAGCCAATAGTGGGGTACAGCTGGAAAACAATCCCTCCTGTCCCTCAACAGAAAAGCATGGAGGTCCGGTAGAACCTCCTACAGATGTACTTGTAAAACCTATGGTGAATTAGTATCACATTGCAATCAAATTATTATGGCAATTTATAAATATATAGTATTAAAACAACCAAAATTAATTCAGTGAACTCATTTTCTGTTGGATTAAAGTGCAAACCAGAAAGAGGAAGAATAAATACATTTTACCTATTTTAAAAATGTAAAAAAACCCCCACCCTTCTAAAATGCAATTTTACACTTGACAATATGCCAAGAGACATACACAGAACTTCAGATTTTCAGCAAACGTAAGCATCCTCCTGCATTTCATTTTCCTGTTCTCCCAGCACATTTGCACAGTCCCAGGGAGCGGGCTGTGTTCATCTCCCAACCTACAAAGCTCTGGTTTGTCCAATTACTCAGACCTTATCTGAATCTTGGCAAAATTAAACTTTTCCTTTTGAAAGTATTTCCTCTGAGAAGTTGACTGCAAGCCTCTTTCCAGGGACACAGATACAACTGAGTACAGTATCACTTTGAAAAATCTATCAAAT